CTCTCACTGAGACCGTCACAAACGAGTGCTGAAGCGTCGTATTTCAACAGATAATCACGACACAGAGTATTTGTATAGTTTATTTAAATTCACAAACCAAACATAACGGTTAAAGGGGGATAAAACCTTTGCTCATTGAAGTCTGCAGGTCACAATGTCATCGTGAACAAACGAAACCATGATTTTACAGAACAAGACCAAACTTGATTTTCTGGTACAAAAAGTGTGCTTATTATTTTTTTTCAACCCCATTACATGAATAAAAAAACCCATGATATTTCTGTATTACTGTTGGTGTGCCATGATCCCCGCTGACATGGCCCTGTAGTCTGCACGAGCTAACAACTAATAAAGGTGCAATACATTTTTTTCATTACATCCAAATTGAGATTCAAAACGACCAATTGCATGCATAACCAATTTTCTCTCAAAATATTTAATTGAACAAAATAAAAAACAGATATATCACAGATTGCGCTTGATCATAATCAGTACATATATTGCGAAATAATCACAGAATCACAGAATCTCAGAGAGTGACATTAAGTTATAAAAATATACATAAGCAGTGACAGGTATTGCGCATTGCATATCGCTCCAAATGTAATTCAAATGATCATTTTCTTTTGATTGTATTGCCCCGATGTGATCATTTACTGGCCGTCAAGATATAGCTGGAATACTGGCTGACCCACGTCGCTATATATGTAGATATATAAATAGACCTTCAACGTTTAGCCCCCATTGTACTTGATCATACCTGACACAGACACCCCCGGCACACCCACACCCACACCACATTATGCAATTTTTTGTCGATGTTATCGGTAAGCGACCGCCTCCGTGGTCTAGCGGGTGGCAGAGACAGCGGAAGGCTGAAGGTCGGGGGTTCGATCCCCGGCTGCGTCATACCAGTAGACGTTAAAAAATGGTACTTGTTGTTACCCTGTCTGGCGCTGGGTCAGTGCTACAGATTAATATACTTATGATCAACAAATACTGTGTAAACAAATACTGGAATGTTTTGAAAATAACTAATAGCAAACATCAAATCTGTACACATATGGAAATGTTAAAACAAGCATGTAATAGTTATCACAATTTAAAAATAATCCGCAAACAACAACAGGACGGTGGTGCTTAAAATGTATTCGTGAATGGATTTGTTAACTTCATTTAAATCAAGAATCCTTTCAAAACTGGTGTCTCAATCATTTACCTTAAAGGTATTTCAAATAAACGGGATTATCCTTTTTATCAAAAGAATCAATCATTAAAAATGTATGTGGCGTGGATTGATTTATCTTCATACAGATACACATTGGTAAGGCACGGACTGTTAAATGGGGTTTGATGCTGTTAATTTTAGACTGAACACGCATGGTGTACTCATATCCTCGCCAATATGACATTTCCGGTCTAAGTCAAAGTCGTTGCCATGGAAACTCGAAAAAATTTTTTTTCAAAAATCCCAAACTTTCAAAAGGCTGGAGTTCACCACGAGACCTATCTATGTGCCAAGTTTGGTTAAGATATCTCTCAGGGTTTTTCAGTTCTGATCCGGAAACGTCACGTGACGGACGGACGGACGGACGGACGGACAGCACCCATTCCTATATCCCCCTTCCATTTCGTGGCGGGGGATAATAACCAACGACCAACGAGGAATTACGGACCATCCAGAGAAACACAACCTATTGTTCAGATGACGTAATTGTATTATACATTCGTATTGTTTGTATTGTGACGTCACATCACTTCAATTGATATAACGAAATAATCATATACCTACATATCAATGATATGAGACATTCTGCATGTGCGATAAAGCTAACATGGATACGGTCATATCGCATGGGGCGTAATAACCAAACCCGTACTACATCCATGTCGGGATGATATGGCTTGTTTTTGAATGGGCGATCGATATCAGCCCTGTGGTAAGAAATTAGAGTTACGTCCCTTAGTGCGTCGTCTGCTCACCTGTTCGGCCAGCCTTCCCGTGACAATGACTTCCAAACAAGGTAAACATGGTTTGCATTCACTTCCAAATAGATACATTTTACAGTTTGATGTTATGGTAAATGATAAAAAGGTTATCATACGGCAGTTTTCATAGGATACCCCACATCACCCCTCGACCTCTCGGGTTGAGGTGAGGTGAAATTGGGTTTAACGTCGCGTCCAAGATTATTGCACTTATATAGCGACGTGCATGCACGTGTATGTATGTGTGTGAAGCTGCTTGTACTAGTCCGGACTGATGCCGATTTATAGTGCTAGCTCACGGAGATACCATGCCGCAGTTTAACATGAATACCCCACTCAGACACAGTATACTGACTCCGAGCCGACCAGTCCTTGTTTTAGCCCCTTAAAGCCGAGCGCCAGACAGGGTAACAACAAGTACAATCCTTTAACGTCTTTTTGTATGACGCGGCCGGGGATCGAACCCCGGACCTTCCGCTCTCCGGGCGGACGCTCTACCACAAGACCACGGAGGCGGTCCCTCTCGGGTTGATAAGGGGTATGATATGAAAACTGCCATGTTAAAACCACTAACTGTTGGACGGATCATCAAGTGTTTCACGCTATGAAAGTTAAAACATGGGACTATCCCCGTATTGAATGACTTCAAAAATTGTATGACTACAAACATGGCTTAAAATAGCACACCAAGGAATAATTGTACATTAACATCCATCTTTGTACGTGAGTGAGCGAGTTGGATTCAACGCCGCTTTTAACAGTATTCCAGTTATATCACGGCGTGTCAGCTTAATGTGGGAGGAAAGCCCGAAGTGATGCAGGTCTCACACGTTTACCACTTCGGTGAAACCCACGAGCAAGGATATGGTGCTGACAAACCTAGAAACATAATCGGGGCGAACCGGGATTGGAACCCACAATCATAGGTTTCCGGGGTGCCCAAGGGACGCATCTCTGCACAGCGAATCGCGGCGCCTTACACCGTTCCACCTCTTGTCACTTGAACAGAACAATAGGTTCTTCAAAGTGTATCCATGAACTCGTGTCAGATGCCTAGCTGCTGGCACCGCCTCCGTTTTCTATTGGATAGAGCGTCCGCCCGGAGGACGCCACAATCTGGCGTACCCAAGGGACGCAACTCTGCACAGCAAATCGCGGCGCTTTAGTCGACTGGGCCACCCGTGCCCCCTTTGGTACGTACATGAACACAGATCATGAACATAATTATATTACATATTGTCACATAAATCCATATTAAGTTTTCAACAAAAATATATGTTTTTTTCCTAACTGCTGTTTTGACTATGTTTAACCACGTTGGGATTCCGGTTCAGAATTATCTCAGCAAGTTATGCTTGACGTGCAACGCAACGCTGTGTGGAGCGTTGCTCACAATATTAATCACTGGATTTTCTTTGCCAGATTGGATTATATAGAGGCCGCCGTCATATAGCTGGGCTTGGCGATGAATTAAGAAATTAGGAAATGGACAGTCAGTTATATATAAAGTGCATGTACAATGAAATTAGTTAAATGATTTCCCCTCAAAAACATTGTGCATTGTATATATGAAGCGGGGGTGATTGGCGACCATTTCTAAGCAGAATTATGTGGACAAGTATTTAAGGCAATTGTTGTTTTACTTTAGTTTGAGAATCAGTTATCAATCACCATGTTTTCAAATAAAATCACATGTAGCATTGAACATGTTGTAGAAATAGAAACATCAACAGTAAATACTGTACAATAATAACTATATAACAATAACAATCATATAAACTATAGACATATTTGAACAGCCATTATAGGTGCCTCACAGAGGAAGCACCTACAAGTGCATCGGGTGACAACTTTAAGCCACGACGGGCTTTACCCTTGGGACGGGACATGTACTCGTGTCGTCATTGTCAGAGAACGTGAGGGAGTTGGTTGTTAATGAGTTATTCTCTTCATTTTTTGTTTCCATGCCTTTGAACGGAGCTCGAGATAAGCTGCGTATATGAGTCAAATACGTATTAAACAGACTGAAATACGCAGACAAATCACATCCTAGCGTATCAAATACGAAACAAAAATACGCTATTGAAATAATACTAATGCGTATGTTACACATACTAGATAAAACGATTGCGTATATTACAACTGTTAGATAAAACGATTGCGTATATTACAACTGTTAGATAAAACGATTGCGTATATTACAACTGTTAGATAAAATAAGTGTGTATCAGCCGATCGCGAAATTCACTTACCGACAGTTACCTTCGGAAAAGCTTGTGCGACAAAAAACTCGAATATCGATAGATTCCAATTAAAAAGCACAACGTGCCAAGTCAATGTATCTTAAACAGTCGCTGATTTGTCATTAAAAACATAACGCCTTTCTTACAATGCTAAGTTTTGCAAACAACAATGGCTGTCTGGAAAGGGAGTAGCAAGCAGACGCAAGCGGGTACACTAATTTTCATTAGTTTTAAATGATTTACCGGAATCTTTTGAATCAGGTTAAAATACCAACATATCAGGAAACAGGTGGGTAAAAATTTGGGTACCTCATCAATTTTATACTAAGGATGATCGATATTTATGCGGGTTTATTTGTGACCTCATCCATTGTATCATGACGTCATATCATTCAGAGTGACGTCACGCCTGTCCCAACTTCGAAATTTAACGTAAAGAGAAGGTGCTACGTAACATTACTGAATACTTCGCCATTTCACATTGTTGAAAACATTTTCAGACATGCAATAATCTGGTACCAAAAGAAACTGCCGGGTTTTGAATACTCAATAGCACCCGTAAATCTGAAAACACACAAAGATTATTTCCTCATTTGACAACGACTGCTCTCCAGCCTGGATCTCATTTTTGCGTCTGGACGCTGCTCCCTTTTGAGAAACTGCGCCATTGACTGATCGTGAACTGTTTGAACAACCTGAATCAAATTTCACTCGCATTGACCCGGGCCTTTAAATGTAAGCCCACTTTGGTAAACAAGCATCTTTCAGTCTGCCAATTAGAGGAATATACGTTCATATCAAGGAAACGTACAATGTCGACACGCCCCTATTTTTTCAATTTGAATGGGGTTATTTTCGTTTACTGAATATCAACGTTTCATCATACCTTTACCGGGAATTAAACCGTGGCTTCATCTGCCCACCATAAATACGTATAATTTAAGTATATATTCTGATCAGAACTTCTCCATTCCTTCCAAAGGATGAAAACCTTGACCTGAGCATTTGTTGCAGTCGACGTCGGTTTTCTTCTTGCCCCTAAATCGGTCCTTGATCCACGCATACACGGGGGAAAGGGAGCCAAAGTTCCCCTGGGGGCCACAGATAGCCAACAACGGGGCGAACAGAAGCAGCGAATAGAACAGAGAGAACCCAATGGTGCAGAACATGAAAATACCAAATTGCATAAAGAACAAAATGACCGCAAATAACATGAATAGGGAGGCTCCCAAAGTAGTGCATGCTCCAGAGAGGACGGATATTCCTACGGTTTCCAACATATCGCGTAGTCGGCCGAGTCTGTGTTCGTGACGTGACAGATGGTATCCTTCCGCCAGGTGGACGACGTAGTCAACGGCAAGTCCCACAACCAGCGAGAGATTCAGGGACTCCAGTACCTGAAAAGAATCAGTGAGTGAGTATTGTTTTATGCCGCTTTTCGCAATATTCCAGCAATATCACGGCGAAGGACACCAGAAATGCCTCAGACACTATCATCGCAAAAGCCACGTTGAAGGTTTATTAGCCGCCGGGTAAAGCTTGAGTTTTGCTGTAATCCACTCACTCCAGCTGCTTATTGGTGGCACTGTGGCACAAAACTAATGTACCGAAACATTTCCATTATCAAGAATCGTTCATTGTAGGATCTCAAATGTATCATACGTATTTGTTTATGAACAAATTCCAAATAGTGAGGATATCATGTGTTTCCCAAATGGTGAGCGAATCACGCCGCACTCAGCAATATTTAACCTATATGACGGCGGTCTGTAAATATTCGAGTGATTGACATCATGAGCATCGATGGCACCTTCCATAACGGATTTATGTGGACACCCAACTACGATGACGACAAAGATGACAGCACTGACGAGAAAGATCAAGCACCTAAGCCTTTCTTCTATCGCAACCTTGTGGCCAGATATCCCCTGCCGTCGTTCTGTAAGTTGTGTGCGTCGTTCATAACATTTTAATTGTACTGTTATAATGCTGACAAGAAAGGTGTTTTGTGCACAGTGTTTGTTTGTTGATTAACGCCGAACTCAGCAATATTCCAGCTATATGACGGCAGTTTATAAATAATCGAGTCTGGACCAGACAATCCCGTGATTGACATCATTGATCCACGCAATTGGGAAACGATGACATGTATCAACCAAGTCAGCGATCCTGACCACCCGGTCCCGTTAGTCACCTCTCACGCATCATTTTGTGACTGATGCGTTAATTGTTTTGATTGATCGCAAGTCTTAGTGTCACATATGACGTGTTTCAATCCCGCTAATGTCCCTACCAATGATTGAGCGCATGTCTAAGCCACATATATGACGTGTTTGTCTTGCTAATGTCCCTACCAATGATTGAGCGCAAGACTAAATGTCATATATGACGTGTTTGTCTCGCTAATGAACCTACCAATGATTGAATGCATGTCTAAGTGTCATATATGACGTGTTTCCATCCCACTACTGTCGCTACCAATGATTGAGCGCATGTCTAAGTGTCATATATGACGTGTTTCTGTCTCGCTAATGACCCTACCAATGATTGAATGCATGTCTTAGTGTCATATATGACGTGTTTCTGTCTCGCTAATGACCCTACCAATGATTGAGCGCAGCTCTAAGTGTCATATATGACGTGTTTCTGTCTCGCTAATGTCCCTACCAATGATTAAGCGCAAGTCTAAGTGTCATATATGACGTGTTTCTGTCTCGCTAATGACCCTACCAATGATTGAGCGCAAGTCTAAGTGTCATTTATGACGTGTTTCCATCCCACTACTGTCGCTACCAATGATTGAGCGCATGTCTAAGTGTCATATATGACGTGTTTCTGTCTCGCTAATGACCCTACCAATGATTGAATGCATGTCTAAGTGTCATATATGACGTGTTTCTGTCTCGCTAATGACCCTACCAATGATTGAATGCATGTCTTAGTGTCATATATGACGTGTTTCTGTCTCGCTAATGACCCTACCAATGATTGAGCGCAGCTCTAAGTGTCATATATGACGTGTTTCTGTCTCGCTAATGTCTCTACCAATGATTGAGCGCAGCTCTATGTGTCATATATGACGTGTTTATGTCTCGCTAATGTCTCTACCAATGATTGAGCGCAAGTCTAAGTGTCATATATGACGTGTTTCTGTCTCGCTATTGACCCTACCAATGATTGAGCGCAAGTCTAAGTGTCATATATGACGTGTTTCTGTCTCGCTCATGACCCTACCAATGATTGAGCGCAAGTCTAAGTGTCATATATGACGTGTTTCTGTTTCGCCAATGACCCTACCAATGATTGAGTGCAAGTCTAAGTTCCACATATGACGTGTTTCTGTCTCGCTAATGACCCTACCAATGATTGAATGCATGTCTAAGTGTCATATATGACGTGTTTCTGTCTCGCTAATGACCCTACCAATGATTGAATGCATGTCTTAGTGTCATATATGACGTGTTTCTGTCTCGCTAATGACCCTACCAATGATTGAATGCATGTCTAAGTGTCATATATGACGTGTTTCTGTCTCGCTCATGACCCTACCAATGATTGAGCGCAAGTCTAAGTGTCATATATGACGTGTTTCTGTCTCGCTAGTGTCTCTACCAATGATTGAGCGCAAGTCTAAGTGTCATTTATGACGTGTTTCTGTCTCGCCAATGACCCTACCAATAATTGAGCGCAGCTCTGAGTGTCATATATGACGTGTTTCTGTCTCGCTAATGACCCTACCAATGATTGAGCGCAGCTCTCAGTGCCATATATGACGTGTTTCTGTCTCGCTAATGACCCTACCAATGATTGAGCGCAGCTCTAAGTGTCATATATGACGTGTTTCTGTCTCGCTAATGACCCTACCAATGATTGAGCGCAAGTCTAAGTGTCATATATGACGTGTTTCTGTCTCGCCAATGACCCTACCAATGATTGAGTGCAAGTCTAAGTGTCATATATGACGTGTTTCTGTCTCGCCAATGACCCTACCAATGATTAAGCGCAAGTCTAAGTTCCACATATGACGTGTTTCTGTCTCGCTAATGACCCTACCAATGATTGAGCGCAGCTCAAAGTGTCATATATGACGTGTTTCTGTCTCGCCAATGACCCTACCAATGATTGAGTGCAAGTCTAAGTTCCACATATGACGTGTTTCTGTCTCGCTAATGACCCTACCAATGATTGAGTGCAAGTCTAAGTTCCACATATGACGTGTTTCTGTCTCGCTAATGACCCTACCAATGATTGAGCGCAGCTCTAAGTGTCATATATGACGTGTTTCTGTCTCGCCAATGACCCTACCAATGATGGAGTGCAAGTCTAAGTGTCATATATGACGTGTTTCTGTCTCGCTAATGACCCTACCAATGATTGAGTGCAAGTCTAAGTGTCATATATGACGTGTTTCTGTCTCGCCAATGACCCTACCAATGATTGAGTGCAAGTCTAAGTGTCATATATGACGTGTTTATGTCTCGCCAATGACCCTACCAATGATTGAGCGCAAGTCTAAGTTCCACATATGACGTGTTTCTGTCTCGCTAATGACCCTACCAATGATTGAGTGCAAGTCTAAGTGTCATATATGACGTGTTTCTGTCTCGCTAATGACCCTACCAATGATTGAGTGCAAGTCTAAGTGTCATATATGACGTGTTTCTGTCTCGCTAATGACCCTACCAATGATTGAGCGCAAGTCTAAGTTCCACATATGACGTGTTTCTGTCTCGCTAATGACCCTACCAATGATTGAGCGCAGCTCTAAGAGTCATATATGACGTGTTTCTGTCTCGCCAATGACCCTACCAATGATTGAGTGCAAGTCTAAGTGCCATATATGACGTGTTTCCGTCTCACCCCCAGTTTCCAGCCCGCCAGTGGGATGATGCCGACGATGGTGACGGTCACACAGCTGATGGTGGCGGTGGCGAGGAACCCGAGGACGACGTTCTGTGTTGCGAAGGTGAGGATGACGAAGGCGAGACAGATGCCGATGATGATGCCCTTGACGGCGGAGTCAGCAAGAGTCTGCATCACCATGGACCAAGTTATATACCAATCAAAACAAATTAAGAACAGCCCCAATGGAAGGTTGTGTGGTGGAATACCCCTAAGTCTGTCTTACAGACCCTGATACAAATATATCAACTACAGCCCATGCAAGTCTATAATGTTTGGCAAGTCTAGATTACTGCAGTATCAGGAAATGAAGAGAATCACTGGGCTCCCTTTTTATTATATTTTTATTAAGATAACTGAACAACTGTTTTTTTCTGTACGATATGTTCATTTCAGAGACTATATGTTAGTCTGGAAGACCCCAAGCCATGACAGATCAACGAGTCAAATGAAAAAATCGGGTGATCTTTCACTTCCTTTTAGTAGTAAATGTTCGACTGATCTCTTTGATTGGCATTCTATAGAAGTTGGTGTGTAAATAAGAAAACCAACAAGTTTATGGATAACAACTTCTGGTTATTGCATATTGCGAAGTTAGGACGCAGATTCTTAAACACTCACTCCAGATGGATAACGGTGCAAGAATCCACATCGAAACGCCACTATATGCATTAAACCAGAAGTTGGTATCCATAAATTTTCACGTTTTCTTATATTAGAATCATCACCCTTTATCCCAGGATGATCAACGAATACCATGTTTTAATAATGTGTCCACAATATATGAAGTTAAGACCGCTGTGTTTGCCACAGTACTCATATATACACCCTAGTGTTTTCAAGTTTGTCCATTTGATACAAGACTATCGCAGAAATGTCACTTTTCGATTGGCAAAGTGTGTGTACATTATGAATGACAGAAAGAATGCATTATGGTCAAGATATGAAGATATTTGAATTATGTATACACATAGGCAACTAGTGGGGTGGGTGGGTCGGGATTGGTGGGGAAACAAGTCTCCAGTCTTGTTAAGCCGCGCATTGTGCGCTTGGGCGTATACCGTGTTACCCTTTGTATCCGGTCTGAGGCCTATAAATAAACTTTGACTTGACTATACCAAGTATAACCATTTAATTAAGTGTCACGATGTGGCAAGATGATACCTTTTGGACTCGAAGCCAGTGCCAAGCGTTGTTGCCTTCGGGTGTGCACTGAAATCCTCCACTCAGGGATGGCGGCAGCTTCGCTATCTACATAAATGAAACGGACAATGAGATCGTTAGTTGATGTTTTTTCACGTTGGGCAAACATGTAAATTCCGTATTAAACAGTTATATAAGGCAGAGAATTCATGGATGTAAACATTTTTTATTATGAGGAACATCTGATGAAGGAGTAAGCATATACAGTACTTCCAGTACACTTCCAAATTCAGTACCACCGAAACACAAAAGTCTAATGCCTCTAGCTACCTTGATATGATAAGTGCTTGGGACTTTTGATCTTTGTCGGTGCCTATTATCTAGATGGCTTCCATTTGCCCATTGCTATTCCCATTCCTTTACCAATCGGTGATAATATAGTCCTGGCTTCCAGTTGTCCATAACTATCAGCACTAATTACTGTAAAGTGTTGGCTTCCATTGTCTATAGCTAACCACCTATCAGCGCCAATCATCAGTTGGCTTCCCTTTTTAAGTTTCCACCTTTTGTTATCTTATTACTTTTGTTGTTCTTACATGTACATATATATGCTCTCTGCCTCATAGCATCCCTTCACCCGATGAAGGAGTAAGCATATACTCCGAAACATTGCGCCCTCATTCTAGAGAATGTGACATCCATAAATTCTCTTCCTTATGTGCATCACTTCTAAATGCCTTTCAAAGACTCAATTATTAAGGCGTTCTGTTAGTTTATATTTTAATATTTTATAAATACCCACATAACTATATCTCGTGATCTGATTATAGCTATATAGGGTTATTGCATATTTGTTTTGAAAGACCACTTCCGCAACACACCGGGAGACATGCACTTGTCAGTGGGGATGTCGGTTGAGATATGTAAATTCCAAACATCAGCACAGAAAATAATCATTCTCGGTTTTCCACCGAAACAGATTCCATGCGCGTAAAAGGCGAAAGTGATCAAAAATATTAATCATTGAAAATCAGCGATGACACCAGGTGTTCGCGAAAAGGGTAAAAAAACACGTTTAATTTCTTCCAAAACATCTATTTTCAGAAGACTTATAGCATAAAGCTTCAGCTCGAATACAAACTTATGTGAGTCGCTGTATAGTTATTTTAACCAAGGCGCCAAGTGCATATTTTACCACAGCGACATTTAGGTCAATCAGTATCGATGTCAACGTCTTGCTATAAAATTTCCAGTTGGTTTTACGTATTTTACTTTTTAATCACATGTGAAGAAACCATCTTTCTTAAACCATAATAGTTATTATATGGAGAGTATATTCATTATGTGGAGTTCGTTAAACGGTGCAAATATATCAACAGTGAACAATCAGGGTAAGACTCCATCTGATAGGTCTCTTAATTGAATGACCCGTGGAACGTATTTTCTTTGACGTTGTCATGTTGATTTTCTAAATATTCCAAATATTTCTTACCCTAGGAACGTACGTTCCAAAGTTCCTTCATGACATGAGGGTGTAGTTGACAACCTACTTTCTGTATTATCTGTTGCATCCATACGTACCTGCTTGTGTCAACGTCATTTACGACAACCTGCTGGCCAAAAGAGCTATTTTCCTTGTCTGTCGTATGCTTAAGGCCAGAGAGTACTGACTATAAAAGTGGAAACTGGACTTTAAAAGTCAGTTATCTCTCTTGCCTCGGGAAGATGTGCTTAAAGGGGAAGTGTACACGCAAAAATCACTTTCTTTCTTTTTCTAAACAAAACGCAATTTTAGAATTAATTAGTATCTGTGTTTGAAAATATACACTCATTTTTTTCACAGTGAAAGTAGGAAGCTCACAATAGTGTGAAAATGATATGCCGTTATGAGGCCTTCGTTTTTCGAGCTAAACAGGCCTGAGTTATCCCCCTTAGATTATGACGTAATTGGTGCCAATTCAACTGGGTCCCTGACTATTCTCAACGCAAAAGATATCAAGTACCAGTTTGCGGTAAAACAACATGGCCTACGACACACTCCGGCGCAGTGGTGACTCAGCATAACACTATGCTGGCTGGCATCTGAGACGCTAGAATCACACGCCTAGACCTACACCACGTGAAGCGGCTCTAACAAAGCATGATGACGTCATAATGTTTATCAATTGGCACCAATGACGTCATATTGCAAGGGGCATAAGCCATGGTGTTTTTGTTGGGGAAATAGAACACTTGGTAAATGTGAAAAATATAAATCGTTTTAATGCGAAAAATATGTTAATTAATTGTGATATTTTTATATTTTTGTCTATGACACTTCTAGGTTAACACTTTTAATGTGGAAAAAGTACAAGAAAAATAGGTTAATTTCCGTGTGAACTTGCACTCATTTCAATTTAATCTAAATATGTGCCGAAAATGACCAGTCTGAAGTCCTTGTGAGGGAACTATATTCTTGCGCAGGTAGGACAGGGCGACGTGCTCACCCGTTTCCCGGACACTCGGTGTCATCACTAACCTTTCAGTGATTCTTGAGTGTAGGTTGTTTCGTTTAAATCCTATTCCGCTTCTTGTTTTGGGATACGAATATACTGACTTGTTTCTAGTTTATTAACATGATTTCTGAACTGATTACCGCTGATCTGGCAAAACTTTCCCAGGCATCGACGACAGGAATCCCATCCACGAAGCCCACTTTCCCATTCCGTAGGGTCGTGTGCACAACAATGGCGGCATACCTCAGTCTTGTTCCGTAGTAGCGATCTAGAAACCAACGAAACTCTGTTCAAAAGCATACTACGTCATCATTTTTCCATTCTAGTATGGTACATTAAGGTGAGGTGAAATGGGGTTTAACGTCAAGTCCAAGATTTTTGCACTTATATAGCGACGTGCATGCACGTGATTGTATGTGTAGCTGCTTGTACTAGTCCGGACTGATGCCGATTTATAGTGCTGGCTCACTGAGATACCATGCCGCAGTTTAACATGAATACCCCCCTCAGACACAGTATACTGACTCCGAGCTGACAAGTCCTTGTTGTATCCCCTTAATGCCGAGTGCCAGGCAGGGTAACAACAAATACCATCTTTTAACGTCTTTTGGTATGACGCGACCGGGCATCGACCCCCGGACCTTCCACTCTCCGGGCAGACGCTCTACCACTAGACCACGGAGGCGGTCCTTTAACAGGAAGGTCCCCATGTCATATAAAAAATAATTGAATGAGCGGAGAGTGAGAGGATGAATTCTGTTTTATACCAGAAACACTCAGCGACATAACCCCGGCCTACACCTCAGGGACTCGATAACCGCGTGTATAGCATAATATATTCGTATAGAATAACAAAAACAAACCCTCTATACATATAGACTAGGGGTAACACCAGCCATCTTGGTCCCTATTCAAGATTTCGCACTTGGTTCGAGCCACAGCTCGATATTGCATACTATAAAAGTGTCAATTATTTCAACCTATTGGTACTTGCTAAACAAACCATGGGCTACACAATCGTGTTCATTTGTGGCCACCTTGCCTCGTATTTACCTTAAAACAACCATCAGATCACAAACTTCTCTGTCGAGGTATCTTCCCCAAGGCAAGAGCGTTAAATGACTTTAAAAGTCCAGTTTCCACCCTTGCCGAACTTGGCTGGAATTACTGGGCTCGATCGTAGCGCCACCAGTGGCTATTACCAGTTATGTCCCCTCTAAACCTCTCCTATGGACCAATGAGATTCCACCTCTCGTATCACTTGCGTTTGCTTCACACAAAATGGTGGCGCCCAGTCAGGACGATCTGATCGATAATCAAGATCTATATTGTGAGAAAACGGGTCTTACATCGCGAAAAGCATCAAATCACGTGAGCACCTTGATTAAAAACATGAAAAGATTTGGACAATATCAGCTGACAACGAGTTGGCGGTGCAAAATTTAAACAAGATAAGGGTCCGCACATTGCCTGTATCCAAGAAACCAAATTCTCAAAAAAATCTAAATTTACTCTACCAAACTACAACTCAGTTAGAACAGACCGAGCCAAACCTAAAACCACTAGAGCCGCAGGAGGATTAATAATACTAATCAGAGAAGACATTAACTATGAAGAAATCAAAATAAACACACCAAACCTAGAAGCAAACGGCATCCAAATAACTCTCAAAAACCAAAAAATAAACATCATTAACGTATACCACTGGGCAGAACAAAAAATTCAAGCTGAGGACCTAAACAAATTACTGCAAATAAGCAATAAATCAACTATATTCCTAGGAGACTTTAACGCTCACCACCCCACCTGGAGCATAGATGAAAAAATAGATAATCATGGCAAACTAATCTCTGAATGGATAGAAACAAATAACCTTGTACTCCTAAACAATAACCAACCAACTAGATACGATAAGAAAAACCATAAAATGTCGGCTATCGACCTAACCATATGCACCCCAGATCTGGCCCAAAGTACTCAATGGGAAGTTCACGACGCCCCACTAGGTAGTGACCACTTCCCTATAAACATTACCATAGGCAATACAAACGTTCCTACCCAAACAGAAAACCTAGAACCAAAATTCAACTATAACCAAGCTAACTGGGACAAATTTCAGGATATCTGCAACCAAGCCAACCTAACCAAACTAGAAAATAAGGACCCAGAAATCTACTGCAAAAACCTAACAGACTACACAATTAACGCAGCCAAAGCATCAATACCTTATAAAACAAATAACGTAGGCAAACCCTCGGTACCATGGTGGAACGAGGAAATAGAACAAACTAGACGCAAACGTAAAACAGCCTTCAATAGAGCCAAACGCGACCATAACCATATAACGGTAGCTCACGAACTAAACCACAAGGTCCAAAAACTAGTCAAAATAGCTAAAACCAAAGATTGGAAATTATTTTGTGAAGGAGTAAATAATCGCACAGATGCCAGAACAGTCTGGCGAAAAATCCACGCCATTAGAGGCTTAAAACGTCACAAAAAAACACCCAACATAAACAATTCAACCAACCCTACCGAAAAGGCAAATAACCTAGCAAACCACTTCTCGGCCATAAGCAGCAACAATAACTTCAGCGAAAAATTCCAACAAAAACTTAAAGCAGAAGCCAAACCTACTAAAGAACCAAATAATGATAACCTCGAAATAAACCAACCTTACTCAATGGAAGAACTCCAGTACGTACTCCAAAATAGGAAAAAGGGAACTGCCCCAGGACTAGACCTAACATCCTACCAAATAATCAAAAAACTCCCCCCCAACCTACTCCAGGCACTACTTAAGCTATATAACCTAATCTATCAAAACGGACAGGTACCAACTCCCTGGAAACAGGCACTAGTCATCCCTATCCCTAAACCCGATAAACCAACTAACCAGGCAAATTCTTATAGACCAATATCCCTAACCTCAAACCTATGTAAAGTAATGGAATCTATGGCCAAAAATAGACTACAACACTACTTTACTCAAAATAACATCATAAACACAGATCAAAGCGGTTTCACTCCTGGCCGCTCAACCTTAGATAATCTCGCCCGACTAGAACAGGACATAAAGACAGGACAACTCAACAAACAATACACAACAGGCATCTTTCTGGATTTCTCCAAAGCATTCGACATGGTTTGGCACAACGGGCTAATACAAAAACTTTAAAAAATAGGACTAAAAGGACAAATAATAAACTACATTCAGGACTTTCTAAACGAACGTAAAATAACAGTGGGGATAGACCATACTCTATCGGACCAGTGTCCCCTAGAAAATGGCACTCCCCAGGGCAGTATCCTCAGCCCCACACTCTTTAATATAATGATAAACGATCTCTTCGAGGGCCTATCCCCTAAAGTAAACACATCCAAATTCGCGGATGATGGAGCCCTCTGGATCCGCACAGCTAAGCTTAAATTTCTGGGCCGCATCCCAATCAAACCCTCTGATCCAAAACCTAATAAACCAGAATATCAGCCCCAAAAACCAAGCTCTAGCTCGTAAACACCCCTTACTTACCCCAATATCCCAAAGAATAACAAACTACCTAAATGAACACCAAATTAAAAATCTTAAACAAAACTGCAAACAATCAAATATCTTCACCCCTAAACTTAAAATACCCAAAATAGACACAACACTAGCTAGCCAAATAAATAAACAAACCGACCCAAACATAGCTAAAACCACCACACTAGCATACATACACGAAAATTGGCCAAATTGGTGTCACATTTACACGGACGGATCTTCAGATCCGACCTCCAAACACACAGGTTTCGGAGTCCATACCACACAACCAACTAAAACTACACAATCCTTCCGACTCCCAAACAACCAATCAATATTCACGGCAGAACTAATGGGCATGGCCTCAGCCCTCCATAGTCAAAAATCCAAAAACCACAATAAAATCCTAATACTTACCGACTCCCTAAGTGGACTGCAAGCCCTCCAAAACAAAAATACCAAAAACCGACCTAAATTAATAAATCTAATACTTAAAAGCTCCAACGACCTAACTAACGCAGGCAAACAAATAACTTTCTTGTGGATACCCGCCCACGTAGGAATATACGGTAATGAAAACGCCGATAAGGCAGCTAAACTATCCCTCAAAATCCCAGAAATAAGCTTAAACTTACCCATCTCAAAATCAGAAATTAAAAGTGTAAATAAGCAAAAAATCACCAAAAAATGGCATAACCTATATCTAAACTCAAATAGCCAAATCAAAAAAGTACTCAGCAAACCACTAACCAAACCAAAAATTCACCATCCATCAAAAAAAATCGACAGAGTAATCACTAAACTCCAAACAGGACACACCAACCTAAATAACCACCTAAAAAAAATTAAAAAAACATACTACAGGTAACTGCCCACACTGCAAACAACTAGAAACCCCAGAACACGCACTCATCTACTGCACACACTACCTAACACATCGAACCGCTTTACAAACCACCCTCAATCTAAACCAGGCTCTCACTCTAGAAGCAATACTAAACCCACAAAATAAACTAGAAAACTTCAAGGCCTTAGGCGTATTCTTAATCAAAACGGAACTAATAAAACGCATCTAAAAACACTATAATCCACCAAATCAAAATTACATAAACACACAAAAATCCACCATACCCAGCTCCCTTAGTTCTCCTCCCCTACCCCATCGGCATCTATTCCAAAACTAAAAATTCCCAAATTCTATATAAGCAACCCCTAAAGCCCCCTCTTGGGTTGCACACACCACTTCCGCCCCTTTCGGAAACACATTAAATGGCCTGGCCGGGCCCGTGTGCGAAATACGCATCAGTCGGAAAGCGCACGTTAAATCTCCAAAGTAAGTAAGTAAGTAAGTCTACCACAAGACCACGGAGGCGGTCGTACCCGTTGTATACAATGCAAAGTGATATTGCTTCATTTAGTTTTAATATACTATTTAGTATGATATAGTTGTTTGTGGATATTTTTTCTATGGTTTTCACATCTCTATATAATGAGGAATACGGGTGGTCAAGATGTACAAGGCGGCGTAATTCGCTTTGCAGAGTTGCGTCCCTTGGCCATGCCAGGATACGCTGACCATGAGTTCGAATCTCACATACGCCCAGACTATGATACTTGATTTTCAGGACCAAACCACACTGGTAAACATTAAGCGCTGTATCCCGTGGCAACCCGTGAATCAACTGAAATAATGTCCAAAGCGTCAATTAATTCTTTCATCCTTTTTTTTATCGCATCCGTGATCT